TACATTTGGTTAAAATGTATCCGTTACTAAATGTCTTAGTTAAATTTGATAATCTTATGATTAGTATTAGTCTATGAAATCTAGTTGTGTTATCTAAGCTTTTTTTTGCAGCTAGCATTTCATGCTGCATGAAAATTTGGACATTGTAAAAATAACTCGCAATAACCAGTGATTTTTCTGTCCTGGTCAGCACTTGGGTGGAAGCCCATGAGAAGAGAGGCTTAATAGAGACTGGTTCAGAGTGGAAAGTTACTGGTTTCCTTTAGGGAATCTATGATGACGAGCTAGGAAGGAACTCAAAGTCATTTATAAGTAGCTGCACTGCACTCAGAGGACTGGTTTGATTTTTAAAGCCATGTAATTCACTGTTTTTTGAAAAAATAAATCTAATGTAACTGTAATGCCAACCCTATGTGCACAGCGCACTTTTCTGCTCAGTATCCGTGGCCAGTAACCTTTCATAGCTGTGCACGAGAGGGCCTTTCGCACATCTCACCTTAGACACGTGCCCTGCCAAACAGCATCTGACCTTGTTTTGCATGAGATGAAAGTTTCAAGTTTATGCTGGCTTGCTGCACTCAGCTCTGCAAGGTTCTACCAAGCTTTTTCTGTGAATATCTACCTGCCAGTAAATATGTTTGAAGGGGTGAGTGCACGGCGTCATGAATTCCACTGTATGTGGCTCCACAGTAGTCTGACCTGTGCCGAAGCTCTTGTGCCCTTCAGTGTAATGTGCCCCTATGATAGGCTTCATCAGAAACAGGAGCAGAAGAGGTAAGTGAGGGAGACAGGACAGTGGACAGTTGCTCGGTGGGAGAATCCTGGGCGAGAGTCTGAGCACAGTTCCAACTCTATGGAGTATTCCAGTGGCTTGTGATGTTGTGATTCAAAACAGCTAATTCTTACAAATGTATATGGCACACTCTAAAACTGGATAATCTGATGCCTTTTAAATTTTTAAATTTTTTTTTATTTATTTGAGAGAGAGAGAGAGAGAGAGAGAGAGAGAGGTGTGTGTGGCCAGCTCAGCCCACCAGGGGGCGGGGCTGGCTGGCATGTGGTGCTAGGGATTAACCGCAGTCCCTGATGCTTTGCCAAGCTTGTTCTAAGTAGGTGCCTTAGACCACTGAGCCATCTCTCCAGCCCATGAGCCATCTCTCCAGCCCCTGATGCCTTTTAGAATTCAAAAATGCATACCTGGGTCCCACTTTATTCTGAAGATTTAGGTAGTAAGATTTCTCTATTCATAGTAAACCAAATCCCTGAGCCTTTCTGATAGGGCAACGCGGTCTCAAATCCTTTCCGAGTGGAGGTGTTCAGAAGCAGGGCCACACAGGCTGGTCTCATGGTTCTATTCCTTGTGCAGCTCACACCTGGATCTGTTTTTCTGTTTTCAACTGAAGTCACTCAGGCTTCCTTATTTGTCAGTAATTATGGCCAGTTAAGTTGTTTTTCCTTTTTCTACCAGATCCTGGGAACTGCCCCCGTTGGTAGGGGAGAGCACTGAGCATTCGCACTTCTACGGGGGCTCCTTGAGCCCTGCACTCAAGTACAATGAGGTCACTTTGTTGAAGAGTTAACTTTATATTACATTCTTGCAGAGTAGATGTGTGTCCCTAAGGTACAACCGGCCCCGCTGATGCAATAAATATACCATTCTTTATGATTCCTTCCCATTACCCTCTCTGTTGATTTTCAGAGAGTTTACGAATAGTCACGTATTTATACAACTGGCCAAAAGTATACTACTTATTTTTCTTATGGTTTGTAATAACCCATGCCAGGTTATTAAAGGGTATGCAGACCCCTTTTAAGGCAGAGTTTCTTATGTCATTACTTTATATAAGCAGGTCAAGTTCCAGCTCAGCAATAATCTCTTGTTCTTAACCTTTTTCTCTGATTATAAAAATACGTGTTCATTATGGAAAACATAGAAAATGTACGGAGTAAAGAGGGAGAAGAGAAACACCTTCAGGTCTGCTACTCAGCAACAGCTAATGTGCAGCAGTTTGTACAAGACAACTTCGCTTTATTCCATTTGTGCTCATTTAAAAAATTAACCCTATTGTACATATGCTCTCATAATCTGCTTTTCAAGTTAGTAGCGCATGTCAGGAAAAAATGCTTCCCTGTGACATTGCTTCTGTGGACCACATCGTATTCTGTTCCATGTGTCCATCATGTTCTATTCTGTGGCATCAGTTCTGTTTTTATCATGTTCTGTCCCGTTTGACATTATATTCTCTACCCTGCTCCCTTTCCAAGATTTTTCATCATTTTTTTTCCCTAGGGGGAGGATTGTGTTTTTTAAGCAGTAATCTTTATTAGATGCCTCCTTCCGCTTAGTAATTGATTTAATATTTTTTCTGTAGTCAGTGGCATCAGCGAAATCACTAGTTCCTTTGCACTCAGGACAGCGTGCTTTGTCTTGCTGACCATTATTGTGAGCCTTGTTGTTAGCACTAGACAATTCCTTTGTAAAACTCCATCCCTACACTGACTGCCGGCCAATGGGTTTAAAAATATGAGCAGAAGGCAAATCATTAAGGCAAGGCAAATACATCACGGGCTTTATCTTACTGTTTAAAATATATCCCTCTCTCATAAGTACACTTTCACTGAGCAGAATTTTTTTGAGTAATGAGTTTAATATGTCTATTTCAGTTACTTTTTGTGCTAGCAGAATGATGTCTCCTCAGTTCTTTAGCTATTAGTTGCTTATGACATTTGAATTCATTCTTTTAATTGTTGATAGCGTCTGTCATTTTGCTGTGAGTTAGCCTTGTAGCAAGAAATCACATCATCCCCTAATATAGATTAGTCTTTTCAATTAAGAGCCACGAGCATCTAGACACAATAGGACTTCATTATGCAAATGATTGAAGGGGTGGGTCAACCATTCAGATTTTATTGGTGGCTTAGACTGGTAAGATAAAACTAAGAATTAGCATTTTTAGGGTGCTGAATTATGTTTTCAGACACTAAAATAATGCATTTAATTGTCTCAAGCTACTATTTATGGTTAAACATTTAATTGGCAATAATTATTATGGATAGAGGTAAATATTGTAAATAACTTAAACCTCAGCCTCTTTCTTGTCATATGCATTCCTTGATTAAATACCACAGATTTTACAAGGAAGCATGTCCCTGTGTAAAGAATTCTATGGCTCTCACTCTAAAAGTATACTTTGAAAAAAGAATTCTCAAGGGTTAGAAAGTAATAGCAGGAATAATAAATATTGTGCTTTAACTCAAATAGTAGTATAGAGAGGTTTGGTACACCTGGGTGTAGTTGTAACCAACTTCTAGAAGAGATGGGTTGACAGTTTACTGCTTGGAAAGGGTGCAGGATTTGCTAGCTTTATATTTGCACAAAAATGATTATGTTATCCTAAATGAAAATGTGGCTTTATTAACAACTGTAGTAAGCATTGCATTTGGGAAAAATCTTTTTAATAAAAAGTTGCCTGAAGTTCACTCCAACTTAAAATATACAAGTGTGGAAAAAGTACTTACTCTGATTTATGTGTCTTTCGGGGGTGTAATTATTGGCTTTTTACTCACCTATGTAAAACAATGTACTTTTGTAAATGGATTTCTGGCCACTTTGTGCAGGTTTTCTTTTTCCTTTTTTTTTTTTTTTTTTTTTTTTTTTTTAAAAGTAAGCACTGTCAATCAAAGAATTTTAAGGTTTATTTCCTCTTTAGAAATGATTGATAGCCTTTTAGATTTACAAGTTGACAAGTTAAAGGGTTCTATTGGTATAATTATGTACTAAATTCACAGTCTTTCAATTTAAATGTCCTTTTAAAACCGCAAGATTATCATACCTGTATTTTGAAAAGTGGGCCAGTCAGTTTGGGTTGGTACACAAATTGCTTCCATTAGCCTTGGGACCTATTTGAATTTAATACAGTTTTTTAAAGTTAGTAGTAGTATGAATCTTACTTTTAAAATTTAGGTTAATGGAAAATGCATTTAAAGTAAAGCATGTGGCAACTGTTTTTTAATGTATAGCTGAATGCTGGAATGACAAAAACTGTCTTTTTATTCAGGAAGCGAGAAAATGTGTGGTTGAATACTCTGTCTGGTTAAATTTTTTTTTAAAAAAGCTTTACCTCCCCACTATTTACAGGATAAAGCGTAAAAGAATAGAAGATAGAGCTACCACGTTTCCTACATTCTCAGATGAGACATGCTAAAGATATTTTGTGTATCATGGAGGAATTCTTGAAAATGATAGACCAGACTGTGCTGTGTTTAATTTAAGGGAGTTTAATTAATAGGGGCACAGCAAGGCCAATTGTCTCCAAATGTTATTATAATTCTGCTCTTGGAGTCTTTTAAAGAATTATTCTTGGGCTCTCAGTTACTCTACACTAGTACTCCATATGGATTTTTCTTTTTCTTGAAATAATACCAATGTTGGTAGAAGGCGGCTTTGTAATTTCAGATGTGAAGTTTGGAACCAGGGCATGTTCAATACCTAACTCTTTACAGACTCTATCATGCGTCTCAGAAAACCCTTATCTATCCCTCCCCTGAACCCATCGTCTTCTTACAGCTCTCAGTGCATAGAAGATGCTAGGCTAACAGGGTCCGCTGTGGTGCACTCAAGGTTTTGAAGTAACTTTCAGCAGAGACTTTTAGTTCTCCTGCTGTAGGGGTAGCCGTCCACTCAACAAGCCCTTGTGTGCTTTGATCTAAGCTTCTGAACTAAACCAAATGAATGCTAAAACCTCATATTAAATATCAGCTTACTTTCTGTTCGTGATGAGAAAACAGAATTCTGTAAGTGGATTCCCTCCGTGACAGGTAGCAGAAGATGGTGGTGGAAGCGATCGCAAAGAGAGCCTTCCTATGGGTGCTGGCTGACCTCATTCGAGAATGTCAGCGAAACTACACACTTCCCAGTTATTTCTGCAGCACCTATTTTGCAAACCTTGTTCCGCTCTATTTCCTGATGATGTTCTAATTGTTTGCCTTCTTCATTGCAGCACTCAACGAACCTACCATCGATTATGGTTTCCAGCGATTACAGAAGGTCATTCCCAGGCATCCTGGTGACCCTGAGCGTTTGCCAAAGGTCAGGATATCTCCTTTTTCTATTATGGTATCTGGAAAGTTGGACTTAAATGATTGGCAAAAAAATGATTGGATGAAAATTAATGTAAAGATAACAAGCTCATATTTTTGTGCTTTGTGGTTTTGGTTCCATAAGGCAAGAAGTAATAAAAGTAAGCCCTATGTGCTAGGCATTGCTGTGCTTATTTTAGCATACATTATGTCATTCATCATCTCAAAATTCTCTGAGGTTAGTACTATTAACATTCCTATTTTCAGGGAGAAAATAATGAAGCCAAGGGAGCTTAAATAATTTGTCCAGGACTGTACAGCATGTAAATTGCTAAACTGAAATTTAAACCAGAGTCTGGGTTATTCACCATGTCGTAGCAGTTCCTGTGACCAAAAAGAACACCCACTTTTTAACTACACAGGGATCTGCTCTTACCCTTGTTGCAGATAGAAAGAGCTCGAAAGATAAATTACTGGAAGATGTCACTGGACAGATAAGACAGCCTCTTTCATCCTGAGATATCTTTGCCCATTTAGGAAGCATAAATATATGAGAAATGTAACAAAAACTTCAAGTCAGAGTAACAGGTGATATACAGCAAGATGTGGTTAATTACTATGAGTGCAGGAGGAGGAAAATGGACCTTTATGGACCATTACATACCCGAGGAACTTGGGCCCTGTGTGAGAGAGATCGGCAAACTCAGTGCTCACAATAAAAACCAGTACTGATCATTAATAAAAAAGCAACCAGGGAGATAGCAACCAGCTGTGGAGAGAGCTCAGTGGTCTAAGCACCTGCCTGGCAAGCACTAGGACTCAAGTACAATCCCCAGGACCAAATACCATGCTGGCCCCCAGAAGGGCGCGCTGTGCTGGCCCTGAAACTGGGTGTGGTGGTACACACCTATGATCCCAGCACTGTGGAGGCTGAGACAGGAGGATCATTATGATTCTGAACTTTGTACCAAGACCCTGTATCAAGTAAATAAATACATACATTAAAAAAAAAGAAACCAAAGTTTTTGAGAACCCAGCACAGACAGCAGTTAGATACTAAAGTTCAAAGTACTGAGTTAGTTGAGCTGCTCTTTCCTGTTCACTGGCAGCAAGATACAAAGTCATTAATGACACAGGCGATAGTCATCAAATTGAATGAGTAGTAGCTGAGAGGTCCATTTCTTGCCAGAGCTGATCGAGAGCTTTGTCATGTCTGGGGCCATGCATTCTCATAGAGCATGTACAGAACCAAAGCTGATATCCTTCCTAGCTCTACAGACCTCCTTGAGCAGTCAAGTCTACATGATAACCTGCCTAGGCCCTGGCTTCCTCTGCTGGCATAGTCACCAGCTGGGTCAGGTCCTGCCTGCAACTCAACTGCCCTTCATGCCAATGCACAGATGTGTGTGTGTGAGAGAGACACAGAGGCAATGCCTGCCCACAGAGGAAGGACCTTGACAGGCACATATATATGTGGACTATCCCGATCTCAGGGGAGAACCACCTGGCTTTCAGGCTCAGCCCCAGAACACATGTGTATGGGTGGCAGTGCTGTTCACTTTGGCTGAAACTTCTTCAAAGCCCCTCACCTGAGGAGGAATCTTACAAAGTGTCAACACGTTCACATCATTGTCTTTCACATCCTCCCTTTCCTTGTTGACCTTAACTGATTTTAGAGAGCAACTACTCTCTGCACAGCATAGATGTCAGTGCAGAAAAGAGATTTACCTTTAGGTCCCTCTGTCTGGCAAGAACATACCTCCCACGTATTGCCAGGGGTGGGGCATGGGTAAAATGATCTGCATCTATCCAATGGTCAGCACTTTAGCTGGCTTAATGGTGAAAAACAGAAGCACGGACAAAATCCTAGGTCCTCAATATTCTCCCTTAAGGAAGCATCTTCACTTTATATTTAGCACTTGAGTTAGCATCTGATATTGAGGATCTACTGGGTGGGTTGAAAGGACAGACTGGAGAGTCAGGTTAGATGGACAAGGTGGGGGTCAGAGCCCAGCCACTTGCTAGCGAGGCAACTGAGGTCAAATTTCTTTACCTTCCTGTGCCTTAATTTGGAATGTCCTATCTTGTCAGGTTCTTAAATTTTTCTTGGTACTCAATAGAAGGCAGTTATGCTTATGTGCCGGTTGCCTGAGAGTGGAGCCCTTGCCTGTGACAGGCCCTCTACCCAATCTCTGCTCTCAGGGAACCCTAATCCTGTGAGGAGATGGGTGTCCTCTGTGCCTCATTTTCTTCATCTATGAAGTGACCATAGTAATCATACAGCTTATCATTGCCCCTCTAACAACTTTTATTCAAAAATCAGAGATAAAGGTGATTTCATGGCTGAGATCTAAAGAAGCTAAGTGATATTTTTCTTATCTGTGTTTAAAGGAGAGACAAAGGGATGTGAGGTTGAGTTGTGTGTACTTACTTTTGAAAATATTTTCACAGTTGCATGTTATGTTCAGAAATGTTGGACAAATAGCAGGCACGTGTCACTGTGTCCCTGGTGGCTGATGGGGAAACACTCAACCCCCTTTTCCTGGGTTTAAGAAGAGTAATCAAGGACACAATGGATTTGTGTGTTAAGGAAACACTCTGCAGCTTGCATCCAGCCACTTGACTGTGCAAGGATTGAGGCCAGAGCCCACCCCAGGAAGCTCTCAGGGTGACTCAGAGCCCAGTGTCTGTCCTCCTGGCTCCGAATGTTAAGGTGGTGCAAGGGTTCAAGGGCAGGGTCAGGAAGTGGCGGATGGAGCCAGCACAGAGTATTCCTGTGGACTTGGGAGATTTATACCCCCACCGTCCATTGTTAGGGGGATGAAAATGGGCTCCACCTTTCTCAGAATCATGGTCAATGTTTGTCAAACAGGAGTGCTTCCGTGAGCTCTGGACCACACACCTCAAAAAACAAACTGCACTTTATTAAACCCATGTGTTTGTGAATAGACAAAGCTAGATTCATACAACCACCCACATATCCTGTCAAATGAAACTGCTCCAAAGACCAAACAGATAGCTTTCCATAATAATATGCCTTTGTATCCAGGCTTATGCTTTTTCAGAGAACTTGGACATGCTTTTATTGCAGTCTCTCTTTCAAGAAAAGCTAGAAAAGCTGACATTTTTCACATTTCCCAAATAGGAGCAAGCGTAATAGTCCGTCTCTGAAAGTGACCATCGTGATAGCTGCTATACACACACATTTTAAATACGGTAATTATGCGAGCCCTAGATGTTTTTTGGTTTCCTTTTGCTTATGCTCATGGAGAAAGCCAGACTAAGAGTTCTAAATCATAGCTCCGTGTTCTGTGTCACCACACTTTTCTTCTGCAGACCATGGCAGGAGAGGGAGGAATGTGACTTTAGGGTCAAGGATGGGTTTTCTTATGATGTAGAGGTGAAGGGCGCAGGGGCATTGTGGGTCATAAATGCTGGCCTCCTGAGGCTCACAGTTATGATCCAGAAACCCCAGGCAAGGTGCTGCCTTGGTTCTGAAGGCCAGGGCACTGCCCGTTCCTTTCAGTTTCTAGTTCTCTTCATGAGGGGCCCATGAGCTCTAGCTCCTAAGCAGTGAGAGTAGACCTTGAGCCCACCATTCCCTGTGCTAGCTGTAAACCCTGAGATGCACGATTGGTCTACTGCTTGGTGCCTAGTCTAAGTCAGGCACTGTTGAAGGCTTTCACACACCATGGAGGCCAAAACAGAGATCTCTTAAGCCAGACAGACCAGGATTATGGAAACCAGATCCACCACTCGGAGCATGCTGGTCTTAAGGCTCAGGTTTCTCTTCTGTAAAACAGCTACCCCGCAGTATTGTCAGGAATTAGGGAGATAATGTACACAGAGAGGGATTGCTGCATTCAGGGAGACATAATAAACCAGGGCCAATCATCCTGGCACAGTGTGCGTCCCCTACTCCACAGACAAGGACTCAGAGCCCCAGAGGCTGGAGATTTCTGGGATGTTATAGCAAGCAAGCAGGAGAGCTGCGCTATAAACTCAGGGCCCTGGGCTCAGAAGCCTCACTGGGCCCACCATGTTGAATTCCCATGTTTTTCCTTCTAACTCGGTAACCCAAGTAATTCCTCCTCTAATCTAGATTAACTCCTCTCTCCTGCTCCTCCTCAGAACCCAGCTCCTGTCTGGCTTAGTCTCCGCAGCTTTCTCTCCTCCCTCCATGGAGAGAGGCTGGCATAGCAACCTCCACAGGGCAAACATTTTTCTTCCCCCAAGAGTCAGTCCCTCTTTTAGAGAAAATAAAGCAGTTTGAGGAAAGTAACAAAGGCTGCATTTGTGTATTTTGCTTTATGGAGCTGAAAATATCTGGTAAATTGATCCAGCGGGAGTAATAAATACACATTACTTTATCTTGTTCTTCGTGTCCTATACCCCTGAGCCCTGATAGAACAACACCACTTAATAGACTTAAAAAAGAGTAATTACACTCATTGGTTGTGTGATTTTTCAGTCCTCCCAGCCCTGCCTGACCTTCTAATTTAGCTCACCGTGTCTAACTAATGCATTTATATTCATCTTTTATGAAGCATGTATAATACAGGCTCAACTGTAAAGGCTTTTTCAAGCTGTCTTCCTCAGTTTCCAATCTGGTGAGTAGTAGGGAGGACAGAGCAACCCAGGTCTACACATTCACATGTACAGAGAGGACGTGTACATGGCTGGAAGCATTTTTTTGTCCTTTATGAAATATAATAAAAAGTATTTATTACATTTTTTACTTTAAAGCTTTTATATGTTCTAGCATTATTTACAGCTAAACATGCAGGCAAAAGATGTGTTTTAAAAATGATTACTGTTAATGTTTCTGCTTGTCAGAAGCGCTTAAATTTTCCTGCACTTTGTCTAAAAACTTCGTACTGTTGCCTTTTAAGAACAACACATTTAAAAGATCTTGGAAGTTAGATTTGCAAACACTGCTGACAGTTTGTGATGAATGATATTGCAAAATTTGCAAGATGTTTGTCATTTCACACAGCCGACATATTAAGG